GGCAGGGAGCTGGGCCACCTCAGGATAAAATTCCAACGGACGGGGACTTGCTTCCCGTGGATGAACAAAGAAAGTGGTTTCCTGAGACGGAGTGTGCTCCTGGTGACGATGCTGTGAAGAGTGTCAAAATGCCAACACGGAATTGAGAATATCACACGAACTTAGCTGACAGAGCAGCGGACAGGGTGTGACAAGATAGACTCCGGGTTTGAAGGAAGTTCTGTGTGTAAAATGCTACCAAACAGCATCACATCCTACAGAGAAATCGTTCTTGAGAGAAGAGTCAGTCAACGTGGCAAACGTCACAGTTGTCTTATTTTCAGAAATGGCCACAGCTGCCACCACCCTGTAGGGTCAGCAGCCATCAACATCAAGCAAGACCCTCCACCAGCAAAAATATCGTGGCTCGCTGGAAGCTGAGATGATGGTTAGCATTTCTTAACGGTAGAGTGTTTTTTTTAATGTTTATTTATTTTTTGAGAGAGGAGAGAGCAAGCAGGGGAGAGGCAGAGAGAGGGGGACAGACGATCCAAAGTGGGCTCTGTGCTTGACAGCAGACAGGCCAATGCAGAACTCGAACTCACGAACCAGGAGATCATGACCTGAGCTGAAGTCAGATGCTTGACTGACTGAGACACCCAGGCTTCCCAACAATAGAGCATCTCTAATTAAGGTATGAACACTGTGTCGTTAGATATACTACTACTGCACCCTTCACAGACTACAGTATGGTATAAACACAACGTTTATAGGCACCAGGAATCCAAAAAGTTCATCTGACTTGTTTTATTGCAATATTCACTTTACTGCAGTGGAACCAAATGTACAATTTCTCTGAGGTTTGCCTGTATACACGTTTGTCTCTATGTGAGAGTATATGTGTATATATGCACATGAGGTGTGTGTGTGTATGTGTGTATTTATCTATGTCCATAGGTAAGAATGTACGTATATGTCTATGCCACATATCCTACATATACCTGTGTATATATGTATATTAAATATGGAGAAACAGACAAATACACATACATGTATTTCCCATCCCTCCTTGTGGAAAGAGCCTAGAAGCAATGAGATGCTAGCAGCAATGAGCACATCAACATTCAAATCTTGGTTTCTAAGTATCAGTCTCCACAAAAAGAAACCAATACTCCTTGAAGAAATAACTGATATCAGGCTTGGGGCAGGGAAAAGGCAAGACTGCTCTGAGACATCTTATTGTGCCAAAAAATAAGAGAGTTCTTAAAGAATAATGGGGATATTTAACATTTTAATCAATCAAAATTATTTTTCAAAATGTAGGTATAAATTTGTAAGAGACATACAAGACCTGCACACTGAAATCGAGACAATTATGCTGAGAGAAATTAAAGACAACCTAAAAATATGGATATATTACGTTCAAGGACCAGAAAACTCAGTATCATTAAGATGTCAATTTTTCACAAATTTATTTATAGGATTTAACTCAATCCCAATTAAATTTTTAGCAGTCTTTTTGAAATTAAGAGGCTGACTCTGAAATTTATATGGAAATGCAAAGAGCTTAGAATAGTCATAACAATGTTGAAGAATACAGTTGGAGGATTTACACCACCTGATATGAAAACTTACTATAATGCTACAGGAAGCAAGTCATTGTGGCATTAGCATAAAAATAAGCAAGTAAACAAGCTAAGTTGGTTGAGCTTCAGACCCTTGATTTCCAGCTCAGGTCATGATCTCTGGCTCCATGCTCAGCATGGAGTCTGCTTAAGATTCTCTTTCTCTTTCTCTCTCTCTCTCTCTCTCTCTCTCTCTCTCTCTCTCTTCCCCTCCCTCCCTCCCCTCCCCCCCTCCTCGTGTGTGCTCTCTTTCTCTAAAGATAAACATACATATATGAACAAAAATGAAAACAAAAACAAAAAACAAGTAACTCAGCAAAACAGAATACAGTCCAGGAATACATTTACACAATAGGGTCAACTTTTGTTTGTTTGTTTGTTTGTTTTTTACAATGGTGTCAATGAAATTCAATGGGGAAAGGATAATCATTTCAAAAAATGGTACTGAAACACTTGAGAGCTGTAAGTTAAAAAGATGAACTTTCCTGACACCATATATAAAAATTAACTCGAAATGGACCTCAAACCTAAACATCAAGAGCTTAGACTATACAACCTTCAAAAGAAAACCTAGGATAAGATAGTGGTTGGCAAAGATTTCTTAAATAGCACAAATAGCACAAACCATAAAGGAATCAACTATTCTTCATGAAAATAAAAAATATTTGCTATTCAAAAGACATTGATAAGAAAACAAAAAGACAAGCCACATAAAGGAAAACATTTGCTAAACATAAATCTGAGAAACAACTTGTATCTACAATAAAAACTCTTATAATTCAGTGACAATAATACAAAATCACCATTTAAAAATAGGTAAATGAGTGGCTCAGTTGTTTGAGCATCCAACTTCGGCTCAGGCTCATGGGTTCGAGCCCCACATCTGGCTCTCTACTGTCAGGTCAGAGCCTGGAGCCTGCTTCAGATCCTCTATGCTCCTCTCTGCCCCTCCCCCGCTCATGTGCTCTCAGTCTCAAAAATAATAAATATTAAAAAAAAAAAAGGGGGGGGCAAATGGGGGGCTCCTGGTTGGCTCAGTCGGTTAAGCAACTGACTTTGGCTCGGGTCATGGTCTCATGGTTCATGGGTCTAAGCCCTGCATCAGGTTCTGTGCTGACAGCTCAGAGCCTGGACCCCGTTTCAGATTGTGTCTCCCTCTCTCTGCCCCTCCCTGCTCATGCTCTGTCGCTCTCAAAAATAGATGAACATTGAAAAAAAATTAAAAATAGGCAAATGATATGAACATTCTACCACAAAAATATGTGGATGGTAAATAAGTTTATAAAAAATTGCTCAGCACATCAGTCATTAGGAAAATATAAATTAAACCACAAGATACCACAACATGCCTTACGTGAAAAGTCTAATAGTACCGAACGCGCACGAGGATGTGGAGTAACTAGAATCCTTCTGCGCTGAAGGGACTATAAAATGGCATAACCTTTAAGGAAAACAGTGTGGGACCTTCTTCAAAAGCTACACATCTATAAGATGGCCCAGCCATTCTGCTGTTAGGTATTTACTCAAGAGAAATGCAAGTATCACAACCACAAAAATTCTACATAAATGTTCACAGCAGCTTTCTAAGAAATAGTCAAAAACTAAAAACCCAAATGCCCATAAGGAAGGACTATACAAGCTGCATATATTAATACAATGAAATACTATTCAGTAATAAAGAGGAATGAATTGCTGATATGCAGAGAGGAAGAAGCTCGATGAGAGGATATACTGCTTGGTTCTCTTGGAAATGCCAACTGCTGTGAATGGACAGAAAGCAGACCAGAGTGGTTGCTGGGAGGGACGGATTACAAAGAGCATGACAACACTCTGGGGTGATGACTACGTCAATTACTTCAATTGCAATAATGGTTTCATGGGTATATACATAATGCTGAAAAGTTATAAATTACACAAGTGAAATATGTGTAATTTATTAAGTGTCGTTTATAGATGACAGAACACAGCTGTGACAGAAAAAAAAAGCTTAAAAGAGTTCACACTGGCTGACCTGTGACGATTTGATGATCAAAATAAATATGATGGTAACTTACTATGACCCATGGGATAAGGAATTCGTAAGTTCATACTCAACTGATAAAACTAAATAAATATGAAGGGAATGTTCCACGCTGCACCAGCTGTCAACTAACGTAGAAAGAATGATGGAATTAGAAAATCATAATTTGAAACTATCCTAGTAATAAACAATTCAGGTAAGAACCATCAATAGATGATAAAATTACTGGGTGGCAGTTTGGTGGCAGACCAGATGTTTAGCAGCTCCAAGTATTTTCTCAGAAGATACTCCCTAATGGCAGACCAAAGAGAGCATCATCAAGGAATGGGTCAAGCAGACAGCACATGCTTTCCAATACCCAGCACGGCAGAACCAACAACATTTCCATCGTATTTCTATCAAAAATTAGGAACCCCAGACAAACCCTAATTGAAAGACATTCTACAAAATAAATGTCCCCCCAAATAAAATGTTCTTAAAATTCAAAAATTTTAAAGTTATGAACAACAAAGACTAAGGCATTGTTCCAGGCTGAAGAAGATAAAGAGGTATGATGAGGATATACAATGGGGTCCCTGCTGTTTCCGTGACACTCTCATGTCCAAGTGCAGAGTCTGCTTACTTACCTGGTAGTTTATAAGCTCCTTAGCTACAGTCATCCATCTGCAATGTGTCTGTGCCAAACCAAGTGATGAATCAAGCTTATGTTTGTTTACCTTATGTTCTGCTTTATGAACATTAAGTATTCAAATCAGAAAATGTAAATCAATTCAGCAATTAAATGTTCAGTGCTAAAATGATAGAGAATAAAAAACATATGGGGTTACAGGATCTAAAATAAGATCCTGGTCAGTTATCAGGTACAATACAGGTCACTGGCTAACACAACCATGATACCTTCCTGCTATCACCTTTAATTCTGTAAAATATTTTTTCAGATTAGTGAGAAAACTCATGATAGCAATAATTTTACCACTAGAGGACAAATGTTTTTAAATTACAGTTTATATTTTTATGATTTTGTTTCCCGACTTAGAAATGCCCACGTGCCTGTTGTGTGTATGTTTAAGTGGCTCTGTGTACTGTGAGGAGGTTGACATTGATGCCGTACCACCCTTGCCGAAGGAGTCAGCCTATCTTTACGCACGATTCAACAAGATCAAAAAGTTGACGGCAAAAGATTTTGCAGATATCCGTAAGTTAACCTTACATAAAATAACTCACACTAAGTCATGTTAGTGCTAGCCTCATAAAACACAAGCTTCTCGGCACCTGTGGCTGTCACATCTAGGGTAGTCACCGCTGGAGTGTTTAAGTATCCACCACACTTCACAAACATCCACAGGCTTGTTGGTGACTCCTTTCCACTCCATTCAAAGGTCCCCATCACCTTTCTTTACTGGTGCCTTTCATGTCGATGTTGACAGCCCATCAAACATATAGGCGACGACGCCTTCTTAGCCGTACGCCTCGGAGATCCGTCTGCCTCGGTCCATCAGGAGCACCAGTATGACCAATGTGCTTCTCCAACCTGAATGCATTCTTCACAATGCTGCCACCACGATAAAAGCAGAAAGTCTCCTTTTCCTTGCTTTAACTCAAGGTTCTTAAACCTGGCTGTATACTAAACCCATCTGGGGAAATATTGTAAAAAACAATGGTACCAGGCCCTAGTCTTCAGAGATTTCAGCTGAGGTCTGGGGAGAGGCCCAGGTGTCATCATGAAATACCACCCAACTCCTCAGATGGTTCTCACGTGGAACTAATGCATTTCGCTCCTTCCCAGGATGCTTCTGACATCCCGTCAAACCGCACGACAGCTTGCCTCCAGGGCACTGCTGTGAGCACAGCACAACCCTCCACTTCTCTGGTGCCAAGTCCCTGAAGAAAATCCCACCAAACATGCACACTGGCCCCACTACACATTTATGAGATTAACCGGAACAGCATTCATGCTGCAGCTGGTGGCTCCCAAATGACCCTAGTACAGTTGTTCCTCATCACTTCTGGACTCCACACCTACACACTCACCTATGTGGTCACATGCATTTGTGACCCCAAAATCAGTACATGAAACACTCCCACAGTCATTTGCAGACACGTACACAGTGGCAGAACACTGGGGTTACATAGCCGCAGCTGAACAGGGTGACCTCTGCCATTTTGTTTCAGCTCTTACACTGTGAGGCGTCCTGTTCAGTCTACTTAGGGCCACATTTTCTACATTTTTGTGCTTTTTGCTATTTAAAACGCTCCCCAAGTGCAGTGCCAAAGAGCCATCCAGTGTTCCCAAGTTGCCTCACAGGGAAAACACTGCGTAGGTAATCTTCATTCAAGTGTGACCCACAGAACTGAGGCTGTGAGTTCAATGTTAATATATCAACAATACACACTAACTGCAATGCTCTTAAAAAGAAACACACAGGGGGCACCTGGGTGGCTCAGTTAGCTAAGCATCCAACTTCAGCTCAGGTCATGATCTTGTGGTTCATGAGTTCGGGCCCCACGTCGGGCTCTGCGCT